TAGCCATCTTTTAATAAAAAGGCCTCCTAATCGATTGTTCTGGTTGTTAAGGGCTCAGCCCACCATGTGTTATTCTTTCCGTTTTAGTCTAGCCTTCTTTTTTAGCCTTGTCTAGATGTTGTCAGGGCCTAGTAATGGCTGAGTATGATGTAATGAAAAAAAACCCAAAAAATGCGACTTTTGGTAAGGATATGCTGAGTTTGAGAGTGCCCCATTAGAAACTAAAAAATAAATAATAATAAAAAAAGTTCTATATAAAGGTCTCCAAAAGACTCAAGTAAACTTTATTTCCACAACGTTTTGCTGCCAAATTTGACAACAGAAATGCATAACCCGCCAAAATGCATAGCAAAAGTCTTCCACCCAAATTATGCGTTTGCGCGGGTTTGACTGTATTTAATGAAAGCTTGAACATTTTTTATGCATTGCTTAAAGTCCTCCTGAGCCATAGGCTATCAGGAACTGTAACTTCTTGTGCTCCACTCTGGTAAAAACCCTTGTGGGGAAAAGGGTGTGTGCTGGCTGTTTAAAGTATTACAAGTGTTAGATGTGTACAAATGGTGGCGCTAATGGATGGGGCTTTACACATTAGCAAGTGATTAGATAGTGGGGAAAGTGAGTGTTTCTTCATTGATGATCTTTGCCCAGACCCATTGGTTTTTAAGCCTCTGGGTTGAGTTAATGAATTGGGTGATGCTCTTGAACATCTTTGGGTTTTTGAGTATACCTGTCAACTCTGATAATTGTAGTACATTGCACTACACCAAATGACATCTTTACCCAGGGGTATAGAAAGGTAGTGCGGGCATAGAAAACTATGGGTGAAGTCAAACTTAACAAAGTCCGATCGTGCCTCGGAATTTTTTTGATGACTGGTCATCTCCGAGGCACGAGGGACTTAGGCGCTTGGCTCGATTTTTGGCGTGGTGAGTTTTCAAATCTAGTAGAGGAAAACTTCACCACACCACTCACCAATAAGTCGATTACGCCCCGGTATGAAAAGCTGGAATTCAGATCTCCTGCTTCTTCTGAAGAGTTTGGTCTCTTCAGATTTCTCAAAAAAAAATTGAGACGAAAGTTTTCCTTGAGAGGAAAACATCGTCTTCAGGACTTTTGAAATCAGACTGCGGATTACAGAGAGTTGTATGTAGCTCGAATTTCAAATCTGACAATCAAACATCGATGATACAAAAGGAAACCCTCAATATGCAGTCTCTTCCGGTATGAGATCTCTTGTGAGAGTTTGTACTTCAGTAGAGTTCGAGTTGTCAAAGGAGACGATAAAGCAATAAAGAACTATAAAGACTTTGTACTTTACTTTCATCAAATTTGATGAAGATTGGGATATAAACAATTAAAAGCACTCGTAAAACTTCGTTCCCATTCAATACTTCTTAGATCCGTATTCTTTTGGCTTTTTGATTCAATCGATCCCTTTCCTTTGAGGTATGAAGCTACGCAGCCATAAGCCCGAGTTGACTTTACCTCCGGTCCCCGGAGATGCTGATCTACGCATCAATCGGCCTCTGCTACCTCCAAGCCTAGTAGATGGAATGTTAGCTCATCAAAGGAAGACTGTTAGAAATGAATTCAGAAAATGGTTCAAAGGCAGAATTGCAAAGGACTTACAGGTTGACATCATAGTCAGCTTAATAAATGGCTTCAACACATTCTTACTAGCCAGTACGGGCTTTGGAAAGTCGCTCATTGCAATCATGTTCCTGCTCTTGTTTGATCCAAAATCATTCCCAGTCATGATTGTCATCAATCCACTGGATGCGTTGGGTGATAATCAGGTTATATTGTTTGAATATATTTCTTTAATTTGCAATAGTGGATTGATGTTTCCCACTTGTTCAATACACATAGGTACTTCAACTACCACCGGGTGTTACCGGCATCAACCTTACAAAGACGTCTGCAACTAAAGAGACATGGGAGCTAATTAAGCAGCACTTCTATCGAGTAATCTTTGTTGTGAGTTTCTTGCACAACTTTGCTGTCATATTTGAAAACTTGATGGTCTAAGTTTTTGCCAATTGTCAAATATATATTCATCAGAGTCCAGAAATGTTTTTAAATAGTAAAACATTTCAAGATATCTATTATAGTACAGACTTTCAAAAACACCTCATTCTGAAGGTGGTGGACGAGGCACATGTCATCTATTCGTGGGGCTTGGTAGAAAGTGGTCTAGTGAAAGGGCTTCAAAGCCATTCTCAACTTGATGATGTGTGTGAATTCAGGCCAAGCTACGGCTCTCTAGGGAACGCACTTACAGCTACCAACAAAGTCCCAGTCCTTCTACTATCAGCCACTTGTCGTCCAATCGCTATCGAGAGAATTTGGAACAGTCTCAAGCTTACTCCTCAGAATCGTGTTCAAATTCAAGGAGAGCTTGTCCGACCTGAAATACGATACATCCGAATTTACTTAACTCGACCACTTAAGACGGCAGAGGATATTGCTCAGCTCATCCCACATGAAGCAGTTGTTAGTAATGTTGACCTCCCATCAACAATCATCTACTCGCAGTCACAGGATGCCACCCTTGTAGTCTCTCAACAAGTCCACTCAGCACGCGGTAACCCAACAGGTGCAGATGACGGTAACAGCCCCTGCTGTCGTAACTATCATGCATCAACAGGTCCTCAAGACAAGCTTACACGTGCTTCTGAGTACGGCAAGGGGACCTTTCGAATTATTTCAGCTACAACAGCATTAGGTCTTGGTCAAGACTGGCACGAAGTCCAATCAGTCATCATGATGGGGTCAATGGATCCAGATGTTATCATTCAAATGGCAGGAAGAGGTGGAAGAGGCAAAAATAAAGAGAGTTTAGCTATAATGCTGGTCGAGCCAGAGCGAAAGAAAGGCCAAAACGAGATTGAAGATTTTGATGTGAATGCAAATTGGAATGATGACGATTGAATGCATGCTTTGCGTTTGACTCCGGTTTGTCTTCGAGTTGCGCTGAACGTAGATACTTTGTAAGTTTGTTATGCTGAAAAATTGATATCCATGTTCTAAAAATAATTGAACTTTTGCCTCAAACCAATCAGGAAAGGAAAGATACCTCTATCCATCACCGACAAAAACTTTGTAGAAGAGAAGAATAGACAAGATGCACTGGGAATGAAACCTTGTCGATGCTCAGTTTGTGATCCTGGCGGAGCTATTGAGCTAATCAAAGCTCTCAAGACTACCAATCGACACAATTTTCAAAAGCTACTCAACCAACCTACAGTAAATACCAAGATTCCGGATGAATCACTACTTACTCGCTCAAAAATGCAACCACCAGCGCCAAAGGATCTCTCCCGCCGACCTATACTCTGTCCTGATGACGATCCAATCCGAGAATTATCACCTATGATTGATCTAGCGGGCGAACTTATTGATGGATTTGACCTTCTGTTTGAAAACTACTACCCACACGGATCTGACTTAGCACCCATTCAACTCTTTAATTACGATCATGTGTGGCTTCTGGTCAAGAATTTCCGTACAGTTCTGTTGGGGAACCATCTGAGAGGAATTTTTGGAAGCGAGCCACTTCCAGGGACATGGGAAATGATAGTTGAACGAATTGAAACATGGAAGCAATCGGAATCTTATCAATCTCACCTAGAAATGATCGCAGAGGAGGAAGCTCAAGATATAGCTTCAATCGCCAAAGGTAAACACATCTGGGAAGCTTATGAGAAACAACAAAAGGAAAAAGAAGACTCGAAGAAAGAAAAGAAACTTCAGCGAGCTGCTAGAGTCCAAAAGCAAGCCGAAGAAAAGGCATTGAAGATTGCAGAACAAGAGGAAAATAAAGAAAAGAAAAGATTGAAATTGCAAGGCAGTAAGTAAGTACAAACTGAATTATATCTGTAAGTTTTATTTAAACATCTTATAATCATTCTTTGTATTAATATGTCAGATATGAATGGGATTGGGATTAACTACTTCTGTTGCTTTTTTCTCAGTAACACCTAGCACAGAACCCCAACCAAATCGACATGCTTCCCCGTTCCAATCTTCCTTTTGTAGCATAGATTGGAAGTGTTCAATCCCATTGGCCTGAATGTCTTCAAGCTTGTAAAGGAGGTTGATATCACGCTCTGTTTTTATTAGTTCTGGGTCGGCGAAGTGATCTCTCGCCATGTGCATGAATGTAGTTAAAGATGCAGCGCTGATCGGATGTTTGTAACTCTGGTGTACATGCTCTAGACCCGATCGTAAACACAGTTGATGTATCAAATGTTGTAACTATTTCATTTCAGATTGTCAGACTTTCTTTTCTTGAGAAATGAGATTATATTTATTGTTTCACTGACCAGTGGAATATTGAGAGAATATCTCTCAATGAGGTTCTCCAAATTAGTCCCTCGATCCTTTCAGTATTGAGTATTAGAAAAGAACTTTAGCAAATCAATTCATGAGGCGACGAATTATTTGAAAACACTGACTGAGTTATTGCAAAAGAACTTGATCCAAAAATTCTGTGTTTCAAGATAGAAATCTTTTGCCACCCAGTGACCCTTTCGACCACCAGTAGGTAAAAGCAGACAGTGCTTGATAACTCTCGCAAACTTTTTAGGTAAGTATTCTTCTAACACCAGTATATATCTAGGAAGATGTATAGCATATGCAGACAATTTCTTTGAGAGAACCCTGGAGGCACGACTTGGTTCGAAAGCCCAGGGGGACTTAGTGGAGCTTAGGCTAAGCCCCGAGTGGTGAAGCTGGCGGTCCGCGCTCAGAAGAATTGGTGGAAATTCTTGCGCAGGAAAAATTTCGCAAAGCACCACCACTCATTACCTCAAGCTCAAATTGATCACACAATCAATTGCACTAAGTCTTGAGTTTCTTAGGAAACAAAATTCAAAAAGTTCAAAAACCAACAGTAAACGAACAAATAGTTCAGAATTCAGATACATAATCAAAGAAGTCAAGAAATTTATTCACAAAATTGATCAAAAACAACAAACATGGAAAAGTCAAACAAATCGATGGAAGAACGATTGGCAAGAGCGGAGGTAAACTTAGAAAGGGTGACGCGAGCAATGGCAGCAGCCAATGCGACAACGACGGCAAACGAATCCCAGGCCACACCAGGTCCTAGCACAACCAAAAACCAACCAGCAGAACCCATCACCACTACGCAACATACGGCACCCCAGGCAGCCGTCCAGCACGAGGAGAGAAACCCTCCGAATCAACAGGAGCAAATGGAGGAACGTGAATTGGCGGATCCAAAGGTGCTTTCAGGTGCACAACTCAAAGCACCAGCAGACGACCAACCCGGAGAAGAAGGTGTTGACGGTGTGGCGATACTGGACCTGGAGCTGAGATCCGAAACCGAAGACGACACCTGGCAACCTCAGACACTGATAAACAAGGGGAAAGGAAAGAGAGAGGAGAGCCAATCAGAGGAGGAGGAGAGTCTACGTGCAGATGACACAGAATTGTGTAAGTACCAATTGGGATTTACATACCACTTTCTCTATCGCATCTCTATCTCTTCCCCCCTTTTTCTCGGCTACACTGCTCTGTTGCCCCTTGTTACGCGAACGCCAGCTAGACCACAATCATGAGGACGGAGGAGTCTAGAAATAGACGTTTTGAGCCATCACACTTCAGCAATGTCGTCGTGGGCGTTACATCTACAAAGATGTGTGGCAGTACCTCGATAAGTCCACGTGAAAGACCCTGTCAGTTGACACGGGCAAGCTAGCCTGGCTGATAACAAGGTGTCGCTCAGGTAGCGGTTCGCCTAAACCGGGTGTTGTTCATAAGCGTGTGATGCTGAGAACGTGGAGCCTAGCCAATGATGTGTATACGACGGAAACTTACGATGTTGTGTTGAATTTCCAACGAAAACAGCTCACGGGGATCGAGTAATGCTGCTACAAGCGGAAGTCCAACAGGCATTCGTCTTCCAAGATTACGCCAAAGGAACCGCTTTGCTCGCACAACTCACGGAATTGGCGGCAAATGAACCTGTGAATAACCGTGCCCCAAGCGTTCGAGTGGATCACCAGCATCGTGTACCAGATCTAGTGGCCGACAGACAACACAGCCCACACCGGCTTATCCAGGAGAACATGTCAGAGTTCTCATCGGCCTCGAAAAACGAGGCAAGAGAAGTCACCCACCTCGTTGAACCTCGAGCCACAATAGTGCCTATGGAACCAAGAGTCGACGGGTGCCCAACACGGATACACGACACCAGACCACCTCCGTTGTGGAACCACGAGCCAGTCCCGGTCGAACAAAGACTGATTGTTACCACAATGAATCGGATATCAAGCAACGCTGATTCAATGCTAGTCAACCCCGACGAAGCCACCAAAGCGAAAGCGATGCTCGAATCCGGAAGAGGTCGAATGGTCCTGGCAAACGGAGACGTGATTGAGAATGGGAGGCTCATGTTGAAAGATAAAACAAAACAACTGGAAAAATCATTACCTTCCCTCAGCCCAGTCCTAGCTCACTACCTCCGTACTTTCAAAGCATACGTACCACTTCCCGTATTCGACAAACTATGGTTGATCCGAGACCAACAAGCTAGAGAGGGGACGGAGCCGCCTTCGGAATCGAAGTTAAACAAAGGAGGCACAAATCTACGGATGTATGGAGGTGATCCTCCGATGGACGAGCTAACCATGCAATATGAACAATGGTTAGACTGCTTCACTCTTTTCTCTCGGTACATTTTGGACGCTGGATGGGTGACGCTGTCGGAGAATCTCAAAGTACACAAGGAAATTGTGATAGAGCTTCGAGAGACGATGGGTTGGATGGTAGCCCTCAGATACTGCAAACGGGTACGAGAGGGAGTGATGAGGACAACGGTAGGAGGTGAAATCGTGAATGTCTCCGAAATCCAACGGACAATCTTAGAAGAGGTGAAACAGACCTGCGAAAACTTCGGAGAGAGAGCGTGCCGCTCGAATCCATACGCACCAGGAGGTGTCAAGGACCACATTGACCCAGAGTCTGGTCTACCAAAGACAAAAGGGGGGGTTAGCACGGCTAGGAGACAACATGCGAGTGCGGCGAAGGTGGAAGAAGGCTCTTCAGGCGGTAAACGCAAGTCATGGCTACCTCCCGAGCAGTGGGAAGCAAAGTTGAAGGCAGAAGGGAAGTGGGTAGACAGGAAGGACTCAAAGGACTCACGAGGTCGGCGATCGGATTACAATGACCGCGGTAGAGCGAGCGATAAGAGAGACAATCGGTGGGCTCGAAGTAAGAGCAGGAGTCCAAACCGCTACAAGAGCAGGAGATCCAGCGGTAAAGGCGGTAGATCGAAGTACTAGTGAGTATAAGTTTAATGTCCACGAATTGAGACAGTCCGTATTTGTTGTTGCAATGAAACCCAACGGGAAATGAGGACAGACCTGTCACAAACACACTAGTTTCCAAGAGTCCTGTTGAGATACTTGTGCCAAGATCCTGACTATGTTTTGCCCCCTCCCACAAACTTGTTTAACCCACGTGAAACCCTTGACCCTCCCCTCTCACTCGTGATAAGCCTGGGACCGACAGAGCAGCGAGTGAAACAGTTAGAGATAAAGCCGATTGAGAAGAAATGGCCAGTAGGAGTAAAATGTGAGATGCACCTTGACGTATGGAGACGCGAGCTACGGAACGCGGACCTGCTGGAGACACACGCATTCGTACTAGATGGGTTTAAACGCGGGTTTCATCAAGGAATTCCAGAAACGCCAATCCGAGGAAAACGGTACTACTGCCCTGCCAACCACAAATCAGTAAAGGAAGCGGAAAGAGAAGTAAGAGAGAATCTAGCTCTGGAGATAGAAGCTGGCCGCATGTACGGACCATTCTAAAAAGAGGAGGTCTTCCAAAGGTTCGGTTTCTTTCGAACAAATCCGCTGGGCGTGGTGGTGAACGGGGATGGATCAGTGAGGCCGATAAACAACCTCTCGTTCCCGAGACGCGACTCATACATCAACTCAGTAAATGCCCTCGTCGACAAAGATGAATTCAAGACGTCTTGGGACGACTTCGCAAGGGTAGCAAGATTCATGTTGAGTACCGACGGAACTCTACTATTAGGCATCTTCGACTGGGCGAAGGCCTACCGCCAGATCCCCACGAGAGAATCACAATGGCCTTACTTAATGGTACTTGACCTGGACGGTAATGTACTGCTAGATACAAGGGTGACCTTTGGCGGGGTGGCAGGATGCAGCACATTCAGCCAAGCTGCAGACGCTTGGAAGCTGGTGATGATGTCCAAGTTCGGATTCGAGGCGGGGTTCAGGTGGGTAGACGACACGCTCTTCATCAAGAAAGATAACGGCTCGAACAAAGCGACGATGAGTGATGTGGCGGAGGCGAGCGAAAAGATGGGGGTGGTCACTAACTCCAAGAAGTGGAGGGAGTTTGATCACGTCCAGAAGTACTTGGGCCTGATTTGGGACGGAAAGGAGAAAACGGTTAGGATCCCAGCAGAAAAGATAGAATTAAGACTCCTACAGATACAAGAATTCATAAAAGATAACAAGGCAACTTACAAAGAAGCCGAACGCATGGTGGGAAGGCTGATGCACGCATCACTAGTCTACCCTCAACTCCAATGCCATTGCATGGCGATCTACAGGTGGATGTCGGAATGGGTCCATAAGTTTGCAGCTCGAGAGATTCCCGAAGAGGTGCTGGAAGATATGTTGATATGGCGCCGAGTGCTTGGAACCGCGAATCCAAGACGCATGATACCGTGGCCAGAGGTAGTCAATGTCGGCTGGGTAGGCGACGCGTCGACGTCCTACGGGATAGGCATCATAGTAGGTAAGAAATGGGCACGGTTTAGGCTGAGAAACGGCTGGAATGAGAACTCACAGGAGGAAGATGGGTCCGTGCGAGACATCGCATGGGCGGAGACAGTGGCAGTCCGATTGGGATTGCTGATGGTAACCTCATTAATGAAAGTTGAAGGCAAGGAGATCCTGTGCTTGACCGATAATGCCGTGACGAAAGGAGCAATAAGGAACGGAAAGTCGAAAAACCGTTGGGTGAATCGGGAGTGGATGAGAATCCAAGATGAGACACTCAGGCTGAACTGCTGCATAAGGCAGAAGCGAGTGAGATCGGAGGATAACGCGGCGGATTTGTTGTCGAGGGGGTTCGACTCATCGAAACAGGTGACAAATGTTGTATTGATTAGCATACCATCAGACCTAAAACCTTTTGTAAGACAAGAATAAAAGCACTACTTCCTATACCTCGAGAGAGACAAGTTCCCCTTATCAAAACTTCATCTTGAGTGCCCCAGTAAGCTTTAAAGAACATCGTCGTTCACACTCATAAGCTTTAAAGAACGTCGTCGTTCACACTCATCGCGCCCACTCACCGTAAGATTCGACCAACTGGTCCAGCGACGTCAGAAACAGCTAGATCGAAGTATGCCAAACAGGAAGCAGGAAGGAAGGATAGCAGAAGCTGCCGCACGCTTGCCTAAACATTTCGAAGCGGCGAAGTCGAAAGCATCAGAAGCAGGCAAACATGCAGCTGATAGCGGCTGGGCGAAAGGTACATTGGGTGGATATTCGAGTGGAATGTCTAAATTCATCGAATTCAAAGAAAAGACAAACGGTAAATTCGAAGAAGATCAGCCTATAACGGACGAAGACATATACAACTTCATTGCATGGGCCGGCGACTCTAAAGTAGAAAAAGGGAACGGACCTAAAAGAGTGATAACGGCGGTCACCATCAAGAAGTATTTAGATGGTATTCGCGCGTGGCACATCGTGCGGCATACTGCGAGACCGACGGCGGATAAAGAGGTTGTTTCTCTTTTATTAAACGCTACACGCAGGAACGAGGAGGAGAAGAGTCTGGTATCAGAGAAACGACCAGTTATGCTCAATCAATTATTCGAACTTTTCAAGAATACGTACGGAAAGTCAGACGAAGAGGTCCTAGCAGGCTCGGTAGCACTGGTGGCATTTTGGGGGATGGCACGATTAGGGGAATTGCTAAGATTAAAGAAGACAGAAGGTGCAATCCTAAGAAGTCACGTCGAGTTCGGCGAGAAGAAAGGGTGCCGATTCGTAAAGCTACACTTAAGGAAAGCAAAGACGGCGAAAGCGGGTGAAGTGCAGGTCATTCACCTGCAACAACAGTTCAGCGTTTTAGACCCAGTGTCAGCAATCGAACGAATCTTGTTGAATAACAGACAAGCGGACAGAGAAGACTTCCTCTTCGCAACCTCAGGACCAGGTGGTGTAACGGCGTTAAGCAAAAGTCGATTTAAGAAAATCCTAGAGAATGTATGGGGAAAGTCTGGAGTTAGTACTTGGTCAGGTCACTCGTTTAGAGTGGGAGGAGCTTCCTTACGATACAACCTCGGAACTCCGGTAGTGTTGATCGCAAGACAAGGAAGGTGGAAATCACTGGCCTACTTAAGATACTTCAAGGCGTATACGGAAGAAGAGCAGAGAGAAACTATAGCGATGCTGGAGGCATTGGACGAAAGTCAGCAGAGAGAGTAAGGACACGTAAGGATCAAGGATCGGCGAGAAGCGAATTCAATGGAATGCAAATACAGGAAGTTATACAGAACCTTATTCAAGGAACCGCATGTCCTCACAGGTACACACAAACTCTAAACGAGATGCGGAAATAGACGCGCCAAGAAATGTGCTCCGCGTTTGGGGTGAGCCCTAGGAGGCTAGGCGCCGAGCACATCCCTCTCGTCGACTAGTAGGAGGAGTCCTAGGTCTCACAACAACAGACCCGAGAAGCCCTTGATAAGAAGGCGGGCTAGGGGCGAGCGATTAACTAGCCACGACGAGGCTTGGTTCAAGCAAACCAACCTCGTCGGAGTTTGGTTCACATAAACCAAACTCAGAGGCCCGGCTGCGCCGCTGCCCCAAACAAACTGTTCTGACCACGAAGGTAAGATCAGTTCCAAACTGGGGGGAGTAAATACCCACAGGAAAGATGGAGACTTGGAGAGTCTACCATCTACCAGCTCATAAAGCGCATAGAAGCGCAACTAATTGAGGACTGGGTTGAGAGAACCCTGGAGGCACGACTTGGTTCGAAAGCCCAGGGGGACTTAGTGGAGCTTAGGCTAAGCCCCGAGTGGTGAAGCTGGCGGTCCGCGCTCAGAAGAATTGGTGGAAATTCTTGCGCAGGAAAAATTTTGCAAAGCACCACCACTCATTACCTCAAGCTCAAATTGATCACACAATCAATTGCACTAAGTCTTGAGTTTCTTAGGAAACAAAATTCAAAAAGCCGCCCACCCACCCTTGAAGTTGATAGGAACGAAACTCCCACCCACCGACCCAGCGATTAGCTAGCCACGACAAGGCTTGGTTCAAGCAAACCAACCTTGTCGGAGTTTGGTTCACGTAAACCAAACTCAGAGGCCCGGCTGCGCCGCTGCCCCAAACAAACTGTTCTGACCACGAAGGTAAGATCAGTTCCAAACTGGGGGGAGTAAATACCCACAGGAAAGATGGAGACTTGGAGAGTCTACCATCTACCAGCTCATAAAGCGCATAGAAGCGCAACTAATTGAGGACTGGGCTTACTGATAAATGTCATGTAATAAGTCATTTTTGAGCTTATTATGTGATGTTAGTGTGAGAAATGAGCTTGAGAAGTGATTTCGATCCGCCGGAAAAAAAAAATCCCCAACCCCCGATATTTGGGTCTGGGGACCTAAGGGACCTAATATTAAGTACTTAAGTACTTAATTCAGGTACTTAACTACTTAGCTACCTCCTCAAGTAGATATTTAGGTGCTTCAACCACATAAGCACCTCTCATTGCAACTTATGAGGTGCATAAAGACTTGAAATCCATTGTTCTTTGCATGTATATAGA